TATCTAACATACTTTAGCTATCTCTCTATGTTCTAATTTCTTTCCTGTTGCTGTGCACACCACCAAGATCAGCTTGGGGAGGAGAGAGTTTGTTTCTACTTAACCTCTGGTGGGTCACTGTCCATGATTTAGGACAGGGCAGGAACTCAGGCAGACATCATGAAGGAGTACTGCTGTCTGGCTTACTTGCACTCTGGCTTGTGCTGAACTTTTCTATAGCCCAGGCCTATCTATTCGCCTTGGGATTGTTCCATCCCAGGTGAGCTGGGCCCTCCCACGTCAGTCAAGACAATTTCCCACAGGCCATTCTGAGGGAAGTCTTTGGCTAAGGTTCCCTCTTTCAGGTGGCTTAAGGTTGTGTCAAGTTGACAATAAAAACTGAGGCTTTTCTTCCGTTCCCCTTTTCTCCTTCCCACCTCCCATTAGTCCTCTCTATTCCCCTAGGCAGTTTTGCTTCCACTTTCATGTCATATTATACATATATGATTTATATAAAATCCATATAAATCTAGTATCCACAAATGAAGTAGACATGGCGCGGGAACTGGATAAGTAGGCGAGAGAGTACATCTTATTCCAAAGTTGGAGAGGGGGAGACAGAGAGAAGGAAGAGAGAAAGAGAGACTGACTGACTGACTGACTGACTGACTACTAACTAGGTTTGGCATGGGTTTGTAAACCCCAAAACCCACCCTTGGTGACACTCCCAGTCAGTGTCAATCTTTCCCCAAACAGTTGTACCAACTAGGGACCAAGCATTTCAATATATGATTTTATAGGGGTCTACTCATTCAAGCCACAGTGGATAATTTTAAGTTTTTCCCTGTCTTGTGCTTGCCTTAATTTATTTGTGTGAGTAGGTGGATAGGCAAGTGTGTAAAGTAAGAGGACAACTTTCGGGAGTTTAAACTGTTCCACCATGTTGGCTTCTGATATTAAACCCATGTTAAGACACGGTTGGCAGACACAGTTGGCCACTAAAGTTGTCTCAGGCCCACTTTCTATTTGAGGATGATAACTGATTTCCGTTATTGAACTTATATTCACAGCAGCAATATGTAAGGGTTCCCCTCTCTACATCCATTCTTATCAGTATTTGTTTTCTTCTTTTTGCACTAGGATGGGGTGAAATCTCAGTGTTTTAATTTGAATTAAACACTGATACCTAGTGATTTTTTGTACTTAATGGTCATTTGTGCTTTATTTTTTGAGAGTTCTCTCTTCATATTTCTATCTTTTATTGATTGGGCTCTTTCGTTTCTTTCATTAACAACTTGTTTATTTTTATTTTATATGTAAAGTTGTTTTGCTTATATAGATATCTGTTTGCAGAGGCCAGAAGAGGGTGTTGAATCTCTCAGAACTGGGGTTACATTTGGCTGTGAGTCACCATGAGGGTGCTGGGAATTGAACCTGGGTTCTTTGGAAGATGAGCCAGTACTCTTAACTGCTGAGCCATTTATCTCTCTAGACCCAGGTTGTTTGATTCTTTGTATTTTTTTGAGTTCTTTATATGTTGTAGATATTAATCCTCTGTCATACGTTAGCAAAGATTTTATTCCCTTCTGTAAGGTGTGTCTTCATTTCATTCTTTGAAGAAGCTTTTTAGTTTCTCTTCAGTTCAATTTGTGAGTCCCTGGCATTATTTTCTGACAGACTAATCTTTTTTAGGAACTTCTTAGCTGTTCCTGTTTTGTGATGTGTTTTTCTAGTTTTTTCCTCTAAGAGATTCTATGCTTTGATCTATTTTGAATTGAATTTTGTACAGGGTGAGATTTAGGAAATTTAGTTTAGTTCTCTCATGTGGCCATAGATTTTTCCAAGCACCACTCACTGAAGGTCTGTCATCTCTATATATTTTGGTGTCTTTGACACAGTCTAGGTGTCTGCAGCTGTGTGCTGGGTTCTTATTCTTTTGATCTGTTTTTGTGTCAGCACTATGCTCTTTGTGTGTGTGGGGGGGGAGGGAGGAAGGGAGGGAGAGAGGGAGGGAGGGGAGATTTTGGGTGCTAGTACCATGCTTTATTTAGTTACTGGGTATTAGTACTAAGCTGTGTTTGTTTGTTTGTTTGTTTGCTGTGGTTCTGTACCTCCAGCATTATTCTTTTTGCTCAGGATTGTTTGGCCCTGTAGAGTCTTTGCTGGTTCCAGATGAATTTTAGGATTCTTTTTTCTATTACTTTTAAAGCAAGATTTGTTTGTGTACGTGTGTGTGTGTGTGTGTGTGTGTGTGTGTGTGTGTGGCGGGATGCATATGAGTGCAGGTTCCTGAAGAGGCCAGAAGGGGCATAGGATTACCTGGAGCTGGAACTGTAGGCAGTTGTGAACTTCCTGATATGAGTGTTGAGAACTGAATTTATGTTCTTTGCAAGAGCAATAGGCACACTTGAATGAATTTCTCTAGCCCCTCTTTCATTTTTATTTCTTTTTTATTTCAATGAAGGCTGCATTGAAATCTTGGTGGGGATTTCATTGAGTCTATGGATCATTTTTGGTAGTATAACCATTCCCAGAATAGTCAATATTTCAATCAATTGAAATGTATTTAATACTTTCTTTTAGGCTATTAAAATTTAGTTATTTGGTTAATTTAGAACATTTTAATATATCTTACAAATGGATTTTAAAAAAAGACTTTAAACTACCATCTGAAGATGTTTTGTATTTGAGAAGTAGCCCCATATTATGGGAAGAGAAAAGTAAACTTTAGAGGTTGAAGATGTAGATCAATTGGTCAAGTGCTTGTCTAGTATGCAGGACTTAGATTCCCAGCAGTGCAGAAAGCTAGGTGTGGTGACTCTAGTTGCTGTATACCAACACTCTGTATGTATACAGGGCAGGAGGATCAGAAGTTCAAGATTATCCTTGGCTGTCCTGGGTTACATAGGTTCATGCCTCAAGGGAAGATTGTAAAACATAAAATTTAGGGCCAGGAGTGTTGGTGCAAACTTTTAATGCCACCACTTGGGAGGCAGAGGCAGGCAGATCTCTGAGTGAACTTGGTGAGTTCAGGGCAGCGGGGACTACATAGACTCTATGTCATAGACCCAGTTTCAACAACAACAAGTAGAAAATTATAAAGCCAAGACAAATGCTCTAATGGGGGTGGGGGTGGGGGTGGGTGGGTGGGTAGCAAACTTAAATAACTTCTGTATTCTTAACCCAGTAGAGGTACAGATTTGTTTCAGAAAAGTAAATGATCTGAGTTGCAATTGGATAGGAATGAGAGATTCTGGTATGTGGTTGCACAGTAGGATGCATATAATAATGGTGCTGTATATTTGCATTTCAGAAAGCTAGAATATTCTGAATGGTTTCATGTTTGAGTTAAAAAGTAAACAAAAAGTGTATTGGGCCTGGGTTTGGGAAATTGCAATCTTTCTTAAAGAAGGAACTGAATGCAACATGTTTATAGTTTTATTTGCATGTAAATTTTATTTACCCAGCATTTTCAAGTAGGCTAAGTCTCTTATTTTGCTTTTCTTTCTGCCATGAATTCAAGTCTCCCCCCCACCCCTTACGTTACCCTAAAAGAGCTGGTTTGATTTTTGTTTACCATGATTGATAATAATTTTAAGAGAATTTTACAAACTTCATCCCATTGTATAGATGTTATTCTTTTTCCTAAAGCTTTACATTGGTTTAGAGTGTGTGATTTTTTTTTTTATAGTTAGAGATTTTTAAAAAAGCTTTGAGGGTCAAGCAATACTTTGATTAAATAGTTAACCAAGTATGGCATATGGGTGGCAAAATTTTGCATCCACATGGAATAAGGAATGCGTGTGATAATGAGACTTGCAGTGGTATGTAGTTGGAGATTGTGTTTCTGGGGAAAGGAACATAAAGAAGGGTGTTGGGGGTGTTAGAACATGGTGGAGGGCATGCTTAGAGAGAGTGTGCAAGCCTAATTCTCAGCTTTATCTCCTTTGCCAAAGCTTTCTTCCATTAAAGGCTAGCAACAGAGGGACTCTTATTGACCAAACCATTTTACATCTTCCTTCAGTCCACTCACCCATATTAGAATTTAGTTGAATCATGATACACAAGACACGGAAAGTTCAGAATTGGAAGGAGACTTAATTTTCTTGTCATTTAGTTATTGCTAATATCTTAACAACTTGAAAGGAGAAGGAATATTGTCTACTGGTCCTTTACTTTATCTTAATTCTCTTTTTCTAACATCTTGTTCTTCTCCTTTGACACCAGATTCTGATGATGTAATGTGTCTGCTGTTTTTTCCTCTCTTCCTTATGCCCTCCCTGTGTTAGTGAGCCACTGCTGAAAAGTTACTATGAGGATCTCAGGATTGCTGGGCTCTGAGGAAGAGAAAGCTATGTACAGAGCAGTATGAATTTGATGGAAGCTGCATTTCCTACCGTTCAGTTAATTGATAATGGGTAATGGTTTTAGTTTCAAAGCAGTGAATGAAAATTAAATGCTAATTTTGTGTGTTGTATGACTGTTTCTCAATCCCTGTCCTGATTTCAAACATAGCAACTGTTTCTGCCATGACGATTCCTTTGGTACAAATAAAGTGACTATAAACTAAATTAGCAACTCAGGGTAAATAGAGTAACTGCCAATAAAGTGGTACTTTTGGCAGTTTCAGCAGTTGGTTTCATTGACTAGCTTGTTGACTGTAAATAGCTTTGTTTATTTTAATGCTCAAAAATGATTTTCATGTATGTTCAAAATGATGTTTTTGCAAATGAAATGATGACTTGAATTTTAGGCTAGTCTCTGGCTAGAGGTCTTCATTTTGTATCTTGAACTGAGTTTTCAATATGGATTGCTAGTAATATACAAGAACAGACGAAATGACTTGACATCTCTGTACTTAGAGGCAGATAATATTTCTTGGCTAATAAGCAGCAGCCAGGGTGTAAGGGGAAAGATTTGTCTGACTTGAAGAAGACAGAATCTTTAAAACAAAGCCTCAGTAGCCACATTTCATTCATGATATATTTTAATGTCCTTTATTTTTTTTGTTATTCTACCAGGGCGATATACCTTCTGTTGAATACCTCTTGCAAAATGGAAACGACCCAAATGTTAAAGACCATGCTGGATGGACACCATTGGTAGTTTTCTTTTGTGTATCTTTGCAGTGTTGTGGATCTCTTTGTTTTTTCATTCTTTTTATGCTTATGGTTCTAGTTTATGGCTTTGTGGTTGTTCATATATCATGCTCTGCCACCTACACTCTTTAGTCTGAAGAATTTATGTTTTGACCAAGTGTGAAAAGAAAGTTATTTTTCATCTAGCTGTTTCAGTTGTGACAGGAAAGTAATTGGCCACCTTTTGAGTATCCTTTAGATATAGGAGTCCATTTCACTGTAATGTTGGGAGTCAGCTTATGTCATGTGTGACGGTAACCGCTACAGTGGTCACCAGGCTGCCTCTGCAACTAGATAGAGTTTGGCTCCTTGGAACAGAGTAGTTGAAAGCATGGAATGTGATGGATGACCAGCGAGTACTTAAATCTTGCCTCATACTTTGTCCACTTGCAAAATGAGGCAGTAGCAGTAGAAAGCCTTGTCATAAACATTTAAAAAGTCTGTTCATTATTGTTATCATCAATTGCAATGTGAAAAAGAGAATGGAAAAAACACTTGCAATCAATTTTGGCATTAACGAAGACGGTAAGTGTTGGCTTAGAATGCAACCCAAAGCCTCCACAAGGGAGGTGGGTGCCTTTTTCTTGTAAACTAGAATTTCAGCACAGAAATGAGACTCATTAGGCCAGATACAAAAAATGGCTTGAAGATAGAATATATAAATGTGCTGTATTTATATGTGTTAATATATAGTATATATAAAATGACTTCTTGACAAATTCTTAAGCCAAGAGGGCTTAATCTAGATTCAGTTTGTTGTGTTCCACAGACTAGCCAACTTCGTTTGGGAAGGTTAGCTGCCGCAGTCTTGCTTAACTCTTGCTCCTTCCTTTGTTACTAGTTCTATCATTTTTGTCTGTTTAAAAGCACATTTGAAAACCACAAATATCCAGTAATGTCCATCAGCAAAGAGATCTTGCCTTTTTAAATCGTCCTAGATGTCACTTTGCTGGATGGGTTTGTGTAAATGTGAGTGTACAGTTTGGTTTATGGATCGAAGCACTGAATTCTCCTCAGCCTTGGAGAATTCCGGATCTCTCTGTGATCTGGTTGTTATACTTTTAAGAGTTTTTCCCAATGTTGTAAAATTACTGTAGAAAAATTTAACAGGAGCTTGTGATCCAAACAAAGCTTGTTTTTTTTTCTCATGAAGTATACAGATTTTCTTTCTTTTTTTTAAAATTTATTTATTTATTATGTATACAATATTCTGTTTGCGTGTATGCCTGAAGTTCAGAAGAGGGCACCAGGCCTCATTACAGATGGTTGTGAGCCACGATGTGATTGCTGGGAATTGAACTCAGGACCTTTGGAAGAGCAGGCAATGCTCTTAACCGCTGAGCCATCTCTCTAGCCCGGAGTGCACAGATTTTCATCACTGTGTATTTTACCATGAAAATTACAGTTAGTGGCTTTGATGGTCAAAGGCCTAAGGTTTGATAGTAGTTATATGAGAATAAGTTTACTGATTTTATTACTTTTCTCATGAATTTTTCTAAAATGTATGTATTAATTTTCTTTTCCCACTTCTTCCTTTAAAACGTATTTTTGATTAGCATGAAGCCTGCAGTCATGGGCACCTGAAGATAGTGGAATTGCTGCTCCAACATAATGCTTTGGTGAACACCACAGGCTATCAGAATGACACACCACTCCACGATGCGGCCAAGAATGGGCACATAGATATAGTTAAGGTGTTATTGTCCTATGGCGCCTCCAGGAATGCTGTGTAAGTAGTTGCCTACAATTTTCTAAATGGGTTTATGTTCCTAAATGAAGGTATGTACTGAAGCAGTAAGTACCCAAGTTGGTATTTTGGTCTCTTGTCTTCCACAGCTAAAGTTAGATGTGAGAATCAGCATGCATGCTAGACTCAACACTCATTCTCTCTTCTTCAAAACTCATTCATTTGAAGCAGATTTATTCTCTTCAGTAACACTATCAAATCCATTTAGAAACCTTGGTTTTGTAGACAAATTCCCTTAGTGATTTATATGCTGTAGAATGAATCATACTTAATAAAATTTAGATATTTAATTTTTTTATACATTATAAAAATTAGATAATTAATTTTTTTGCAGTACTTAATATTTTAGACTCATTTTAAATATTCTGTTATCCCTTTCTGCTTATTAGTTCAACAAAAGTTAAAATTTATAAGAACTCAGATATTGGGCAAGTGCAGTTGAATTATCGCCCAGATTTTTCACATTATTCAAATGAGGCTCTGAGCAAATTGTTTTGCAGTGTCAGGGCACAGAGGAGCATTAGTGAATGCTGGCGGCTGCATCTTAAAACTGCTATTGTCGAGAGTATTGCAAGCAAATGCCGTATGCAGATTTTTATATCTTTAATCTGTAACTTGGCTCCTGTCTCCCTATATGTTATTTTACTCTTCAGTTAATGAGTTGGTTGAAATGAAATTGCAAGAATTGTTCCTCTGTGCTCTCACTGCTTTTGTGTGCTTCAGAAGAGCCCAACAGAAGCCTCACCCTTGGTAGAAAGCTATGTAAACCACAACATGCAGATCCTCTGACTTGTGGTCTTTAGTAGGTAGCCACTTGACACAACTGAAAAACAAGTTACTAATGAAGAAAATATCATACCCTGGTGCTTCTAGCGTCAGTAAGTGTGTCAGCCCTTCTTTATTTCCCATCAGAAGTTTTAAGGCATCTGGGTCAAATTCTGGGAGAAATGTGTGTGTGTATGCATGGTTTGTTTTTCTATCTTTCTGTGTGTATTTGTTTATAAGAATCTCATAGAGGTAATATATAATTATGTGAAGACTTTATAGCTTTGACCCTCCTGTGGGTGTAGTAAGCCATTTGATGAGGCAAATGGCTGCTTGAGTCAGGTGAAACTGAGTAGTCTCCATCCTAGGGTTCTTAAATCAGCCGTGACTGCTTTAATGAATGGAGCACTGGTCATGGTATTAGGAAATCCAGCTTTTATTTGTGACTCTATTATTGACTTTATAGCTGCAGGCAGGTTAATTTCTGTGCTTTGGTGTCCTCACCTATAAAACATGGGTGCTGCCTGCTGCTTTTCTATTTCTTCAGATCATAGTGAGGATTAATGAGCCAAAACACAGAGCCTGTCTTGTGATTTGTACATCATGATTCTTCACTGTGCTGTGAGGACTCGCTAATGTACAAGGAGTGGTTACAAGGCAGGGATGAGTCTGCCTTCACAGTTGCTTTCTCAGAGATCAGGTGCCATTTTGTAGTAAGTGGCCTGAGCTAGCAAAGTGACACAATTAGATATAGTTAAGCACTGTCTGGTAGGCCTTTTGCTTTAAAGGAAGTGTTTATGTCAATGTCTGGTATTCATGAGCCGGTAGCCATCCATAGCTACTCAACACTTGGAAACCACTATTCTGAAACAGAATCCTTAAAGGTGTTTACTTTTTACTGTTTTAAATGTTCATGTGTCCAGTGGTCCTGTTGTAGGATGATTGGGGAGGTGAATGAATTTAACAACAAGCTGAGATGGTTGTTGGCTAGAGGATAATAGGGTAGATTTATGCATTGAATTAATTCATACTGTCTGGCTCCTTAGAACTGTGTGGAGTGTGTTGTGAGGAAGACATGCTATCCCTCCTTTCCAAATGTGGAACCAATGCTTGATCTGCCTTTAAGAACTTTTCCTTTGGTGGACCTTGCATTCTCACGTAGAACAATATTATATGGACCAATGGACCTATTAATTGCTTTCCTGCCCTAGTAAATTTTCAAAGTAATGAATCCTCTACAGCAAAGAACTGTTTTATAACATTCAAAACCATGTTGTTCTTTTGAAAGATGGTGCTTTTGCTTGCTTACAGCAAGCAAAGTGATGTAAAAAATTAAGTCTTTGTGATTGCAATTTTATGTTGTTCATAAAGAATCCCATTTATCGACTCTCTTGACATTGTCATGCCCTGTAGGTTTAGTTTTAGTAAAAATACCTAGCTTATGTTTTTGCATGTTGGGTGATCTTCACATGCAAACATAAATTATTGTTTGTTCATCTTTCCTTATTTTTTTCCTATTGCTGCAGCTGACTCAGGGCACAGCTGTAGGCAGATGTCTACCATGTCACTCCTTTATGGGAAAGGACATTAAAGGATTTTATTGTCTGAGCGGTGCCTTTTGGTTATAGTTGAAGCATTAAACACTTCAGCTTAACCCTTCAGTAAATGAAGCTCATCTCTATAATCAGTCTTGATAAGGAAGAATCCTGGCTAAGAAAAGGATTTCAGTCCCTGTCTCATATTCCTTTATGTTTAGATGGTACCATATAGGAAAATGAATAATTTTTTTTCTTATTTTCATTAAAAAGCATGCTTTGATATATTTTCCCTTATTAATATAAAAGCTGCATGAAATGTATCATCAAATGGAGGAAACTATGATTAGCACTCCAGGCATAACTTACCATGTTTTCTTGTGTTTTTTCTATATCTGTCTCCCAGCAGTGCAAATCCAGCAGTATTAGCGTCACTGAGCTGGAACTATCTGCTAGGCACTGTCTTAAGAACTTTTGACCTATTAATTCATTTGGCCTTCCTAAAGTATTAGGAAACAGGTTCTACCAGCCCCATTTTCCAAGTAGAAAACAGGCACTAGAGGTTGAAGTAGTTTATGTACGTGACACAATGATTCTAGATCTGAAACTTGAATGTGGGCAGTGTTCCTATATAACCTGACTCCTAGCTATCATGAACTACCATGCCGTTCCTCCTGCCCACACCTGTTTAGAGAAGTACTCAGGGTCTTGTTGCTGTAGGAGAAGCATCCACCATTTAACCCTATCCCTCTTTCTTTCATGACTGGGCCATAGCTGCTGCTTCTCAAACTCCTTATTCATGTGGAACACATGTGTGTTCCACCTTTCCCCTTTCTTCATCTGTTTTCTCCCTTCTTTCCTCAGGAATTTTCTTGACTGTCACACAGTGTCCACACACCTTTCTCCCTGTTTGGAGTATTCTTATTCTGCCTCTGTAACCCCTTTCTAGCTCTGGAAAGTTGCACTAGACTTACAAGTCTCCCAGTGTGCATCTCTCATTGAATTCTGTCAAGATACAAGCTACACTGTGTCCTTGGTTCCTTAGTGCCTAAAACAGAGGGAAAAACCACCTGTTGAATGAACATTTTTCAAACTGATTACATAGCAATGGTTATCACCTCCTATATGCATGCACATACTCCATATAGACATATATGTGCTATATGTTTTCATACAGTCAGTGTGTTTCAGTAGTACTGATTTTTCAGGGTTTTTGTTTGCTTATTTATTAGCTATTAGGTAATAGAAACACTCAGATCTTCTGAGAAGATTTGAAAATGTAAAATCCTTATCTTTGTCTTTAAAATTTTTAGATGAGCTGGGCACTGGTGGCCCAAGCCTTTAATCCCAGCACTGAGGAGGCAAAGGCAGACGAATCTCTGTAATTTCAAGGCCAGCCTGGTCTACAAGAGGTATTTCTAGGACAGGCTCTAGAGCTACAGAGAAACCTTGTCTCAAAAAAACCAAAATTAAAAAAAAAAAAAAAGAAAAGAAAAAGAAGAAGAAATGTATTTTCTGGGATTTGTGCTTTAAATCCCAGAGAGAGCCAGGCATGGTGACTCACACTTTTAATCCTATCTCTTGGGAAGTAGTGGAAGGCAGACCTCTATGAGTTCTATCTAGATCAGCCAAGGTTACATGATGAGACTTTGTCTCATAAAACAACGCCAACAAAAATCCGAACAAATGAAAGTACAGGAAAGGGGCAATAGAATGACTAACAGCACTGGGGAAAGGCATTTGCCTCTAGTCCTGGTTGGTATGAGATCCATCCCTAAGGCCCAGGTATGGGAAGGAAAAGCCCAACTCCTGCCAGTTTTCCTCTGGTCTTCTCTCTGTCTCTCTCTGTCTCTGTCTGTCTGTCTGTCTGTCTCTCTCTCTCTCTCTCTCACACACACACACACACACACACAACTAAATAAATGAATCTAATAAAAGAAACTCTTAAAATCACAGGGCAGTCAGTAGGGGCAGGCATATACTAGAGGAAGAGAAATAGTAAAACCTGCTAATATACTGTGCTATAAATCAATAGAGAAAATTAATAAAAAGATATGATTTTTGTCAATGATTGTATGACAAGCTTCAGTAACCAGGAAAATTGCATTTTTAGTAGAATTTCTAATGCGTGAACAGTATGAACTATATGTAATCCTTTGGAGTTCACTGAATTTTAAGAGATTGTCTTTGATATAAGGTATTAAAGGAATGGTTGGAAGGGATACATATGGAAATTATTAGTATATTGTCAGGAATTATGCTTAATTGTATAAACCTGTGTTCCGAAAATACCTTGATTATTGTTGCTGTTGCACTAACCCAGGCATATTTTCCATTTTCACAGTTGCAGTGTCTCCTTCTCTCTAGTGTTCATTGCCTCTGTCTGCCAATTGTATCAGTTTCTTCACTCTTATTCACCTGTCACATATGCTCATACAATGAGAAGAGTTCAGCTCCCTGGATGGAGAAGGCTCTTTTCCAGCTGGTACATACATTTTAGCAACCATATTGCTTATTTCCTCCTCAGGCTCTACACATTCACCTACCACATGACAATTTCCAGTCTTGACCCAAGGCCATTTCATATGCTAATGTATGTTCCTTACCTAAATTTGACCCCATTACTTTGCTTTGGTATGTACTTGGTCAGTTTCATATTTATTTGTTGAGTTAGTATTTGCTTTCAGTGGTTTGCAGAGAAGGAAAAAGTCTCTACACCCTTCTTCTAGATACATGATGTGAGTTAAGGTTTACGCTTCATACCAGAAAATAGAGAACGTTGCGTTTATATTTGAAAAGAATCATTAAGCAATAGCCTTGTCCTTTTCAGTATGCCTATTTTGAGTTAATGTGTCACAATCTTTAAAAGACTTTCTTACAATGATGGAGAATAACTAATTTACCACTGTTCCAATTAGCAGTCACAATGTTACTGACTAACGTGTTCAATAGTTTCTTACATTTCCTTGAGATATCTATTTTACACAAAGGGAATAAATAATGTGGTAAAATTTAATAATTAAAATAAACCAATTTTTCTCGCTATACAAGTAACCTGTGTTAACCCATTCAAATCTGGAAAGAACACATTTTGTATGTGTCCACATAAGAGTAGACTATACTACATCTTTGGTTGCTGTGGTTAAGTTTCTGCTTGTAAGCCTGTATTTGTTTTCATATTTCTGTAGTTGACAAGAAAACAAAATTATGACAGAGTACCATAGGCCACATTGTCCATGAAGCAGGACCTTTCCAGAACCTATGGTATCTGTAACTTATAATTCTGTAATTTACATATAATAAAATCCTTTTAGTCAGCTTGTGACGAAATTCTTCAGTTTACAAGAGTATTTGATTGCTCCAGACCATGTGTTTATGCAGAAGTCTGCTGTAGTAGCTCTATGGCTGTGACATGTTATGAAGCGTTTTCATTTAGTCCTTTTTCATGTTGTCATCGGGGATTTTTACTTCAGCTCTTATAAATAACTATGCTGATGTCATCAGTTAGTGTGTATTAAGTTCACTAACTAATGTTTTTTCTCATATATATTAATAAAAACATATATACTATGATTTTGTTTATCCATTTTTGCAGTTGGTTTAAGAATTAGAGTCTTGATTTTTCAAATCAGGCTTCTATTTTGTGACTGACATTTATAGCATCTGTACATGAGGAGGCAGTGTGGTGGTGTGAGCGTAGGAGAGCATGAGGATGGGACGTCTCCAGGAGAGTGCATGAGATCCTGTTGATGTGCTCTGACGGTACTCGCTCCAGCCGTAAGCAGTGGCTTGTGTCACAGTGTTGGCAATCAGAAACCTCAAATGCACTTGTCTTTTACATTGGCGGAGAAAGAATATTGCCAGGAAAGGTCCATGGTATGGACCTGGACATAAAGGGGAACCTGAGAATGCAGCCTTATGACTTTTTACTCAGCATTGCTAAAAGAAGACGGAGCAACTGAGCCTGGTGGTCATGAAGAGCTGTCGTGAGAGATTTGCTGTGACTTATTTCTTATCTTAATCCACTAGCTCTCTTTTCCCAAGATGCCATTATAATAGCTTTCCCTATGGTCACTGGTTCAGAGAGGCTTAGTCCTTAGATGTGTGACTTCTGTGACTCATCAAAGCTGACACTTTTCTTCTTCTTCCCTTAGTGGTTCATTCTTTCCCCTTTAAGACTTTCTCTACGTACTCAATTACATTTATAAAATTGATATAGTACCTTGTTAACATTTTGTTTCCCATTTAAAACATTGTATTTTCACATTTGCTTTCAGTGCTTGGAATCAAGTCTAGAGTGTTGTGCATGTTTTACAAGCTCCGAACTCTATATATCCAGCCCTCTTGAGCTTTAATTGAATATATACATACAATATTCTTAAAACCCATAAGAGACTAGAAAAGATAACTTGATTTTGAAAGCTCAATATTACAATATGGTATATTAAAATATATTCTAAAATATTCTTGAATTGTAAAAAAGAGGAATGGTTGACCAAATGTTGTAGTTTTAACAAATTATTTACAATGGACTTGTTAAGCATGCTATTGAATGTAACTGAGTATACATGGCAAATGTGACCTAAATAGATCATCGGAACCTGTTGCTCTGTTTTATTTGTAGTTATGAAATGATAGGGTTCTACTTTGAGATCTTGTCTAGTATTTCATGTTGTGATTTGTAAAGATGTACACATTCAGAAGTTTGTATCAGGCTGTTCTCTGAACCACACTAGTCTGCAGTTAAACAAAAAAAGATAAAAAGTACTCCCCAAAATAGCTTACATAATGATTTACTAACCTTAAATTTTTAGGGCAAATAAAAAAAATAGCGACAAAAGAGAGACATTAAGTAATAAAAAGAAAGCTTCTAGATTAAATTAGCCTGTGTATTTCAAGGATATGTTGATCTCAAAATAGGAATCAGGAGATGTCCTACGTTGCTCTTGTTTCCACAGGAGAAAAAAGCTATGGATCAAATTACTAAAGATTCAATTTAAAAAAAAAAACTCTCTAAAAAGAGAAATGACAGCTTATCCACAAAGGTGACAATCATACAGGTGGTAATAAAAACCTCGTAAGGATTGGGGCAGGGTTCTGCTCTTGTCTTTACAAAAAATACTCATCTTCAAAAAGTCAAGAGACCTTGGATATTTGGATACCTTAAAAAATGACTTGTGAGGACAGATCATCTACAGGGTAAAATTTCATTCTCTAAACATATATGTTTATATCTACTATCCAGAATTTTAGACTCACTTAAAAATCAAAGCTGGCTTTGGAATTGGACAATGGCTATCCTTCTCTAAGTCCAAGCATGCTGATAAAAGACAAATTCAGAGTTTCTGTCTCATGTCAGGAGCCATCCGGCATGGGACAGAAAGAAGAAAGAATTTAGAAAAAAAATTTACTTTTCTCCATACCTATTTTGTCTATATTGTTTCTTTAATTGGATATATGTCTATATAAATAATGTTTAAGTTTTCCAGAATAAACAATAGATTTTCCTTCAGTAATCTTAAAGTTTTCAGGAAGAAGATGGGGTCCCAAAATAACTACAGTACTTGGTTGATAGGACATCATGATGCTAATTAAGACTGGTTTTGGGTACCAGCTGCTCAAGATGGTTCTAACTTGTTTAGTTAAAATGGTGTACCTTCTTAAAACGTTCTGGCCAAAACTCCAAATTAGAACTTCAAAAAAAAAAAAAATCCTACCAACTTCTCAGAGACTATTTGCAATTATATCAGACAGTACTCTTTTTGTTAGATTGTATGCATGCATGTTTCTAACTCTTGTTTAAGACATTTTGTATATTGATACAATTTTAGGATATATTTATATTACATTATACATTTCTACCTCTGATCAAGATACTTATACATTGTTTACATTTTGAGGTCATTGTCCTCATTTGCCGCACAGTTATTTAAAGATTGTTTAATATTCTGATATGACGTCTTAGTCTTTAAGTTATACAGGTATTAAGTAATGTAGGTCGGTAGTCATCCATGTTTGTCATACTTATAGTTAGACTAATCAGGTTCTTTAGATACATAAGATGGTATTCTGTGTATAGTTAATCTTCAACCATTTCAACGAACTATAGAATATGGCTTTTAAATAACTTAGGGCTCTGTTGACATGAGACATGATTACTCCAGGCAGCACCTATCTATTCCCGAGAAAATGTTGAGCACCGAAGTCATTCCACTTAGAACTTGTTTTGTTCTTGGTAAAACTGGCTTTTGGGCAAGGAACTGACAATGTCTCAACCACTGACAAAATACATGTCTGTACTGGAGACAAAAAAAAAAAAAAAAAAAAAAAACCTGCCAAACCTTGCCAAGACAGGATAAGACGGTTTTGAAATTTTTCCTGCCTCTGAAAATTGTCTATCAGTTACTCTAGGCCTTAGCCAAAGTTGGTTGTTCCAATGTTGCAAATGAGACTTTGGGTGATTGCCCAGGTAGCCAGTTGTCTCTGTCATCTACTGCACATTTTTGAAAGCCGCTTGATTGCACTTCTTGCCTACTTAAGTAATATTATTTCCCTTCTCAGTTCTTCAAGGGGTGGGGTAAAGACCAGATAATCATAGTTACTTTCCTCTTATGACTTAGCCAAGTCATTTCTAATACAAGACTTAAACTCCTTAAGATAAAATAATTATTAAAACATTTTGCATATGTGTTTTGCTTAATATTGTTTATACTGGTTGTAATTCTAATTTTTATACTTGATACCTATTCTTATTGTATATAGTTTCATATTGGGTTTGATACTCTCAAAAGGGAGAGGTGATAGGGAGCCTCCTTCAGCCAATGACCTTTGAGAGGCTGGACCAGGTTGGGCGTGGCCTTGGGTACCAAAATGGTTCCAGTCAGCTTGCTCTTTCTCCTGGCTTGCCACACTTGGATGTTGGAGTATGTTTTGCTCCCCGTTGTGATCTCTTTAATAAAGAGCTCGCTATACCCTATGCAGAGCTAGTGTGATATTCCTTTATTCATGTCCCCCACCATCTGATGCATTCCACTTCATTCAGAGGTGTCGCTAAGTTTCTTGTAGAAGATCTCTTCAAGGTTTTGATATAACACTTAGTGCTATGAACTTACCTTTTTGAACTGCCTTTGTGTCCTGTTGGTTTGAGTATGTTGTTTTCATTTTTATTCAGTTATAAAAAGTTTTAAATTTCCTTCTTGATTTTATGATATATTTTATTTACTTAAGCACATCTGACTTGTTTCACCAGTAACATATTTGGTGTACGGCCCGTGGATTATACAGACAATGAAAATATAAAATCACTATTGCTGCCACCAGAGAAGAATGAATCATTCTCTACTAGCCAGTGCTCAGTCGTAAGTATGGGTTTAGATTTGGGACATTTATATCTTTTATTGATCTTGGTTGTGAAAGGAGCATAACAGAAAAACTTCCAGTTAGCAGGTACCAATTATTGAGTATTTCTGGAGTACTGACTACTATGGATTCAAAGATACAATCAGAGTACATCTACCAAGAAATATTTATTAAACCCTGTGTAGTTTTGGCGGCATTCATACAACAATGAATTTGACTAAAGCAACCCTTATTTCAAGGAATTTGCTTGCCAGTAAGAGGTAGAGAAAAAATGGTTTGTGAATATGTAAATTGACAAATGCAATCATTTCAGAAGTGGGTACACAAATGCTTACAAGAGTGATTTTGTATTGCATAGCTGGGTGGAGGTGCTAGACTCCTGAACAACACTGCTTAGTGAGGGCCTTTAAGGAGCAATTTGAACTAAAACTTGAATTATGACGGGGAGGCAGTCAGGTGACTACATAAAGGACATTATATAGAGACCCTCAAATAGATGAAATGGGCATTTTGGAGATTGCAGAATTAGTAATTGCTGGAGATAGAGTCTGAGAATAGAAACCATTGAGAGGTTTCAGAGTACAGGAGAAACTGGAGTGAATTTTGTCCTGAGCATTTGCTCTTTGGATTTACAAAAGGAATCTGTGCAGAGTGTGCAAGAGTGAAAGAAATATCACTTAGGATTGTGGCAAGCAAGTACCAGCATGATATGAACAGCCGGGAAAGTCTGTAAGATGGAAAGTAGTGAAGTTCAGTGAATGTTTGTCCCAGCAGTACTTTTTCTTGGGTTTCTATGATGAGTGGGGAATGAGTAGAATTAATGCCACTGGAGGCATAGACTAGTTGGTGCCATTTGCTGGCATTGGAAAGGGGATCCTTCATCCTCTGCCAATTTTGCATCTATTGTTGGAACTGTTAAGTATTAGTTGGCTATATGAGCCTTACACCATTCAAACCCAATTGTACCTGTCAGCTACTTATTTATACTGCTAGGAACTGAACCTAAAACCTTATATTTGCTGGGTAAGCAGTCCATCCTTGAGCAACATCCCTAGTTTTGGACCATTTGCTAAAAATAGCAATCCCTCAGTGCGCTCACCTCATTCACCCCCTTGTCTGTAACATGAGGGCCGGCTTGTTGGGGTTTCTGTCCCGCCCGGTACCCTGCAGCCGGCAACTCCCAAGGAAAATCAATCACACAGAGATCTCTATAAGTTATAAAGCTGATTGGCCCATTAGGTCAGGCTACTTATTAGTTCTTATAACTTATGTTACCCCATTATCCTTATCTATGTTAGCCACACGGCTCAGTACCTTTCTCAGCTAGGCAGCTTACATCTTTCCTCTCCGGTGGTCTGGGCAGAACTGGCAGAGGGAGCTTCCTAGAATACTCCCAGTCTCTTTGCTCCACCTCTACTTCCTGTCTGGCTTTCTTGCCTATACTGCCTGCCTGGCCAATCAGCGTTTTATTAAAATATGATTGACAGAATACAGATAATTCTCCCGCACCACTTGTCCCCTTTCACCATACAGTTGAGAAATAGCATTATACTCTCCCTGTACTTTATTTTTCCTTCCCCTATTAGAATATAAGCTGTATGAGAGCTGGGACTGGTTCACTGCAACAGGTCTTTGCATGGAGAACAGTGTGGCAAGTACCAAGTGCTTGATTACATGTGTGTTGATGGTGAGCAAGCTTTTAAGCCTGAAAGTGGTAGAGGTGCATTGAACACAGATCCCAACATGATACACTTGCTTGGTAGTGGAGTCTAGAATGTTTGTATTGCAAGCTGTACTGATGAGCTCCTTCAGGGAATGTGCAGATGGGTAGAGGTGATAAGTTGATGTGGTTTAATCCATCTGTGTCTCATTCAGAATTGTGTAAACTTGGTTGCCCTTCTTTGAGGCTCAGAAGCAACCTCTGGTCTTAACCACAAGCATCCATCCATGTTCATTTAGGGACTTTTCTGCCCTTGACCCCTTAAAGCAGCATGCTTACCTTTTCTAGTCTTTTCTTGATTCTTTAAATTTTTTTTATTGTATTTGCTTATGTTAATGTGTGAGTGTGTGCGTGTGTGTGCCTAGATATGCACATATCATATGCACATATAGACGCAACAGGAATCATTCTCTTCTTCTACCACTTGGGTCCTCGGGGTCAAATTCAGATTGTCAGGTCTGGCTGCGAGCCGCTACTCCCCCAGAGCCATCTCTTTAAGCCTCCCTTTTAGATGCTTGATAATTTATTAACAATTTAGGTAACAATTTTATCTAAGAAAAATACCATGTTGAATTTAAGTTTTGAGTTTGTTTAATACCAAGAAACATAATCTGTAAGTCTCTTTAAAGTGAGGTTTTTATGTTTGGGTTTTTTAAAGCATCATGGTTTCGAGATCCCCTTATGTGAATTAAATGCACAGCCCCTATGATGTTCAATCCAAAGTCAACATGTGACTGGAAGCGGTTTGTTTTATTATAGCATTTCTTAACTATAAGGCAGTAGTATCAGTTTTTCTATTTTATGCAAATTTAAAGAAGACTTTGACAGGGAAATGCTTGACCTACTTTGATACTGCCTTGATTGGCACAAATAGTATTGTATGCTATATTTAGAAATGATATATTTTCATTCTTTTATACAAAGAACTAATTTAGCTAAAGTGGGGTCGTGTAAATCAAGAAGCAATGTTTCTCTTCTGAGCTATTTTGATGGCATTTATTTAATGGAAAAGAATTTTGACAATTGATGTTTTTATATTGTAAAACTATACTGAACTAGTTTCATATTATACAGTATTTACATTGTTTGGATTTGACTTGGCTATCTTTTACAGAAACTAGTAAGGCATTTATATGGGAATGTGACAATGTCTGTGTCTAGTCAAACTTTTGTTATCAGAACCATAACAGAGTAAATTTAGCTTGCTGAACTTAATTGCCAAGCACTGTCATTTAAAAGACTTACTGTGATATTTTTGTATACCTACTTACTATATAGTAGATCTCATTCATTTTGAATGGATTTCACCAAGATTTAGCTGTCATGTATAGGGACTCCGAATGAATTATCACTTCTCTGGTATGTGAAGTTGATGTTTAAATACTAGCCTCTTCTCACCTAGTTGCTGAACTGTGATGGTGCCTGTGCCTCTGCTGTTTCCTTCATGTGTTGCAGAGCCCTTGAAAGCCCAGATTTCCGGTGCACATTTGTACTCACTGCATGTGAAGGCCCCTGTGTCTTGTGTTGTGTGTGGTATCTTTTCCTTAGTGCAGTAGCTCTGGTTATGCATTTTCCTCTCTAGATCATTCCTTCTCTTTCACAGGTAGCTTTTGTCTAATTCCAGTTCTGTTTTTTTTTTTTTTCCGTCTGTTGCATGCTCCTCCATGTCATTGTTCCATTGAATCATCTCTTCTCATCCCACATGCTGTTCACTGGTGCTGTTTGTCTCCTGTAAGTGCTGAGTCTAAATTAGGTGTTGAGCTGAAATCATTAGTCTCTGTAAGTCAGCCTTTCCTTCTTAGGAGCATGAGCAACTCCCTCCCATTTGTGGGCCTGCTTTCCTCACCCATCAGTTCGCCTGCCTATGTTCGTTCCTCTTTTTGTTTCAGTATCAAGAATTCATTTTCTTCACAATTAGAGCTGAATTTTCAAAATAATCTTAGCTTAAACTGTATAGGCCAAGTTTGTGTTTGACTCTTTGAAGAGGGGTATGAAATTGGTCATTTTTAATGGCTGTTTTAGGTTATTGGGGACAGACTGAAACACTACAGGAATCCAGTTCAGCATCTGAAAAGGAAGCTTGCCTGCATGGAGAGAGCTATTCCAACTGACGTTGATGGGAGGAAAATAATTAGAAAAATAGTTATTCAAATGGATTGAGTATTAGAATTATAGGTATTGATTCAGTAGGAACTACTGGGAATTATTAGCTGGAGTAAGGCAATCGTAAAATAAATCCCCTGCCTAATGGGTTGTTCCTTCTTCTGTGTTTCTTACGTGTTTTTACCATGGTGCCTCTCCATTTTTCACTACCAGGTGACTGCTGGACAGCGAAGGAATGGGCCATTGGTGCTGATAGGCAGTGGACTTTCTTCACAGCAGCAGAGAATGCTCAGCAAACTTGAGACAGTTCTTAAGGCTAAAAAGTGTGCTGAGTTTGACAGTACAGGTGAGGCGTTTGATTTCTTTCTAAATAATTTTTTTAAAAGTTAGTCCCTTTAAAGGGTGAACTTTATTAATTTATGTTTTAAGAATTGGCTTATGGTTATATATTTTGCATCTTGTAATCTAGGCTGTTTCTATTAATATACTAGGAAATGTAAAGTGTATTTTATTGTTTTTGTGGATTTGGAGCTGTTCACATAGCTGGTAGGCAAGTGCACTACCACTCACCTACATGCTTAACGGGAGCTGTAAAGTTAAGCTTTACACTTATTTTAGGGTAGGGTACTGTTAAGAACAGATTTGAGTTTGTTACTAAAGTATAACACAGTGTGATATCACAAATCATTTGAAAAGAATTTAAAAACTTGTATTTGTTAATATATTTTTATGATCTATCTTTTATGTTTGTGGCCAAGTTAAAAAAATATGGCATGATTTTTTTAAAATTTTTATTTTTCTATTCAATTATTTACACTTCCTTCCCTCCTCCCAATCCCCTCCCACTCCCCCACACCTCCTCCTCCCTCTCCAGCCCTGCTTGAGAGAAGGCAGGGAATCCTGCCCAGTGGGAAGTCCAAGGCCCTCTCCCCTACATCCAGGCCTTAAAAAAGTATGGAATAAAAAAAAAATTATATTCAATATAAGTTTCTTTTGGTGAAAACTTATGTGTTAGTTAATAAAATAGACTTAACTGCTTATAAAAAAAAACAGGAAATTATTTTGGTTTTTCCTTACTGCTTTTTTTAGTAACTCATGTCATTGTTCCTGATGATGAAGCTCAAAGTACTTTGAAGTGTATGCTTGGGATTCTCAATGGATGCTGGATTCTGACGTTTGAATGTAAGTACTGAATTTGGGAGGATTACTAGACTAGTTAGATACTCACTGCTTTGAAAAGGATTCATGTATTATTGGTGCCCTGCAGATATTTTTTATAAATGTGCATAAATATGCTCTGATTTTAATGTAGTTGTATTCTTCAATACCAACTATATTAATAAAGAGTTAATGTTGTTTCTTATTAGTTTTTAAGTCTAAATATTAATGTTAAATGGTGTATTTGACAAAATATACTCATGTTTTAATCCATTTAATGGTGTATCTATGAAGTAAAATTAATTTATTGCTTTCCATTTAAAATGTCTACAGTATTACCCATATAACATCCTTTTAATCTCGTGGCTGACTCAGTCCTTTTAGGCAGCTGTTGGGGGACTTTGCCATTTCATTCTACATGATCTGATTACAGCAGCCATTACCTCAGCCTCCACTGAAACTGTTTCCCTGTTTCTCTCGTTAGCAGTCATAATGCCATCACCCTCAGAGTTACCTTCTCTCTTCCCTACTGTTGCTATATGCTGCTTTTCATACTCCCCTCCCCCCACACCTTTCTTTCCTCCAGAACCTTACATATCTCCTCACTCTTCCTAGTTAGTTTTTTTGCCTTGGTACTTGAAGTATCTGCTTTTTGGTGTGATAGGCTAAAATATGATGGCAGATGCACCAGCTGTCGTTAAGTACTTCTTGAGAAAGCTAAGTGGCTGCAAAGGACTGACAGGGGGGTCTTATAGTTGAGAACCTTGATGTTGCTTATGGTCAAGAATGATGGAGGGCCCAAATTTCTCAGACTTGCCACACACATCTGCACATCGAGTTGCTTTGTATTGTGATTTGTTAATCTTCTAGAGCTGACTGCTAACTCTGGATACTGCGGTCTCCTTTAATGATAATTATACCAAAACAGAAGATTAAGTATATTAATTTTAAGAACATTGTATATTAAAATTCATTAAAAATATTGGCTTTGTGCTTTGAAGGCCTTGTGGTAGAGTGATGATCAAGATCTTAACTTTGAAGGTGACTTAATTTGAAGAGCAGTTCGGTATTAGCTGTCAGCATTCATGTCCTCTAATTGTCTTCCACTTGCTCCCTGTGGTACTAGTCAGCTCTCATGGGTGTGATTTGCAGTGTGAGAAACCATGTCGTCTTTTCTCCTCATTCTCTGTTAATAGTTGCTCCCAGTCAAAACCAGCTTGAGAAGCATGATAATTGATTGGCAGTATGATTAGCAATATGCCTGTGCTTGAATTTTATTTATTTATTTATTTATTTATTTTGTCTTTCCTGTCTATAGTAAGTCTCTTTGAGTCTCAGTATATAAAAACTTCAAGTGCCTCTAATGTTATGACTTCCTTTGTACCACACCTGGGCCAGAACCATTGCCAGTGGTTAGACTTAGTCGATTTATTTTAATATCAAGATCCTTATTTATAAAGAAGCCATGTGGGATTTTGAATAATCTGATGCTTTTGAATTTTAAGTCTATTTAACAATTTGCTGAACTGGCATTTGGTTACATGTACAGGCCATGATCCATTTTCATAAAACCTATCTTCTGTAGGAAATGTGGGTTTTATCACTTTCATGGCTTGCCCGTGTCATTTTTATAGAATCACTGATGGACTCAAGCTAACTTAATTGTGTGATATCTGGTGAGTCTTACAGTAGTGACTGTATCCTCTATTGCAGATGGTCCTTTTAGGATAAAGAATGGGTAGACTCTCTTATTAAAGTTTATGTAGAGCCCACAAAGAAGTAAGTTTAAAATTTAAGACAAGTATTTAAATTGTCCCTAGGTCAGTGGGCTTGTAAAAATAAGTCATATACTCCCAAAGTGTTTCTTTCCTGACAGAGATTTCCCAGTCTGTTTTTTAGTGTCAGGCACCCCAATTTTATTGAAAAATATTTCAGGTCAATTCAGAACTGTCTGAAAATCATATATATTAGAGAAAAATGAAGGGGATTATGGCTTTCAAAATTAGTTATAGGCATGCATGACTTACTAAAACTTTCTTGAGTAGGATTCTAAGCATTTGTTTGTTGGTAGACAAAATTATTAATTGAAATAACTACTTATAAACTTTAATATTAACATTTTATAGTATTTTCCATAAACAAATGAATTGAAGAAGAATTTTCTTCATGTATATCATGTACTTGTGTGTGGAGACTGGAGGTTGATAGCAAATGTCCTGGGCTCCCACCTTTGTTTTTGAGACAGAAACTCAGAGATTAGCTGGACAGGCTCACCGCCATCTGGAGATCTGCCTGTCTTGCAGACTGTTACCACTTCACTGTGCTAGAGTTACTCCAGACCAGTTATTCTCAACCTTCCTAGTGCTTTTTGTATAGTTCCTCATGTTGTGGTGACCCCAACTATAAAACTGTTTTTGTTGCTACTTCATAACTGTAATTTTGCTATTGTTTTAAGATATAAATATCTGATATGCAGGATGGTCTTAGGTGAGCCCTGTGAAAGAGTCCTTCAACCCTCAAAGGGATCATGACCACAGGTTGAGAATCACTGCTCTAGACTTGCATCTCAACTGAATAAGGAAGAGCAGGGAGGATACTCTTTGGTGGTTTCTGATTGGTTAGTTAATTTGAGTGATTTGACTCTAAAAAGACTAATACCAAGAGTCCCTTTTTAAAGTAGACTTTAAAAAATTCTGTGGAGTTTTAAAGATTAATGTAATTTCTGTTTTTCTCAATAAACTTTTGGACATTAGACAATTTGTTCTTTAAACAGACAGTATTGGTATTAGTCACAGTGCAGGTGTCAGTACTGCTTCTCAAGTTTTGTTTACAATGTTTTGATAGTATACTAATGCATTTTTGTGATGGGATTTGTTTGCTTTTTCTATATGCATTAAATAAAGTAGATTTGACATTTTGTCTCAAGAAATATATGTTTATTTATAAGTGTACTTATAACTAGAATATTAACTTGAAGTATAGGATAAAAGTAAATGATTACTAAGTATGACAAAGTCTGCTGTCTGTCCTGTGACAGTATTTTCAGTGATACTTCCAACTGGATGTTTATGATAGCACATGTGCAGGTTAGTTTTTTATGACTTGATAGAGATAGAGTCATCTGGGAAGGGGGAGTCTTAGTTAAGAAAATACCTTCACCAGATTAGCCTTTGGGCATTCCTTCATTAATGATTAATGAAGCATTAATGATAGTGGAAGGGTCCAGCTCACTGTCAGTGGTGTCACCTTTGGGTAGGTGGGCCTGGGCCATATAAGAAAGGTAGTGGCACGTGCCTTTAATCCCAACACTCAGGGGGCAGAAGAAGGCGGGTCTCTGTTAGTTTGAGGCTTGCCTGGTCTACAAGAGCTAATTCCAGGACAGGCTCCAAAACTACAGACAAACCATGTCTAAAAAAAAAACCCAAAACAAAACAAAACAAAAATAAAACAAAAAACAAAACAAAAAGAAAAAGGTAGCTGAATAAGCCAGGGAGAGTAAGCCAGGAAGCATTCCTCCATTGTTATGCTTCAGTTCCTGCCTGCAAATACTGGTAGTGTCCCCCATGTGTTCCCCACCACCTGAGCCTTGAGAGAGTGTGGTGACAGTGTACTTTGTTATTTTCTATTTTGTCTTTGTGTAGAAAGTGTGAAATTTTTTTGATTGTAGTGTAACCATAGTCTATTTGACTGAAAATTCTAATATAAATCCATTTTCTAAAGAAGATTCCTTTGGTTTTTACAGCCTTAGTAGTCAGTTTTCAGCTGAATCAGACAGGAACTCCATAGATGTTTATTTATTGTTATTCTGAGAAACAAATTCCTAGTTTAGTTCTAATGCCTTATCTGTTCAGACTCTTGATTTTGATATGGAGTGATGTTTATGTATTCTAACTTTCTTAAAGGAAATTTGTTGACTGAGAGTGATATTTAATTCCATTCTTTCAGTTATGAGGAGCCAGAAGCCATAACAATAGCAGTTGGTTAAATCAACAACTTTGTGTTTTCTTGCTTTTAAGAGAGTGAAAATACTTTTTTGCTTTCCATGTAAGATAGGGCTTCTCTTCCTGAGGACACTCTACAGATCTGCATCTTTAAGCTCCACTCACCTTTATGTTCTCTCTAATTTTGTGTAGCTGTGTGTCTGTGGTAGTTTGAATGTAGCTGGCCCACATAGTCTCAGAGGGAGTGGTACTATTGGGAGGAGCGACTCTGCAGGAGTGCCTCTGGCCTTGTTGGAGGAAGTGTGTCACTATGGAGGTGGGCTTTGAGGTTTCCTATTCTCAGGATACCTAGCTAAGTGTCTCAGTTGACTTCCTGTGGTCTGTTATCAAGACATAACAAGCACCTTATCAGCCTGCATGCCGTCATGCTCCCCACCATAATGATAATGGACTAAACCTCTGAAACTGTAAGTGAGCCCCCCTCCCCCTCTTGAAAGTTTTCCTTTATAAAAGTTGTCATGGTCATGGTGTCTCTTTACACAAAAGAAACCCTAACTTAGACAGGGTTCAAGGACACTCCCTTTTACTGTTTCCCTTGTTGATCCTTTTCTCCCAAGCCTCAGAAAAATTACTCAGTTCAACATAATTGATGATCATCTGTGAATCTAAAATGAAGATATATCTACAAATTATGTTTTATGAGCTGGAGACAGGAATGGATGCTAACAGTTTAGAATAAAGGAATGCTTTTCTGTATGGTATACATTTTTTTAAAAAAATACTGATGTACCCTTGACAATCATAAGCTGCCTGAATATGCAAAGACCCCCTGACCTTGCCAAGATGGCCAGAGCTGCTCCAATGACTTTACATTAATGATTTTGAGCTAAGAAGTACTTTAACTGTGCTTCTCCTACATACATAGAAAAATAGCATGATTTCTGGGCTCATCAAATAGTAGGCATGGTCAGGAATCCATCTATACTCAGAGAGTCTGTACAGGTGACTTGTTCCCTCATCCCTGCAAAGTGATAGTTCCAGTTAAAGTATAGAATATGTTCAAGCTAACAAAGATGAAATAAA